TGTCCATTGCCTCTCTGAGAGCCAAGCCAGGGTCTCTAGAGCCCGCTGTGTCTGTGTTTGTGTCGCTGCAGCTCAGTGGCACCGGCAGATCCCGCAGGCTCTGAAGCTGCGGCCCGGGGGCAGCCGCTACCCCACCGTCAGCAGCCAAGGACTCGACTCCTTCTGTGCCTTCCCTGCTCCCGAGAGCCCCGTGCTGTTCTCAGCCCCCAGCCACACGCTGGTGGAGAGTGAAGAACTCTGAAAAACAAACACTCCTTCCAGGTGCGCCTGCGGAGGCACTCAGAACTGTGAAAAACTAAATAATAAAAACAAAAAGAGGTACAACTCACCGTGCTCAAGGTTTACAAGCAACTTGTTTGTAATTAAGTGTTCTGCTGCTGCAAGTGCTGCGAGTAACATATGGTACAAGACTTTTGCCTATGATTTAAATGCAGGATAATTGTGGTATGGAGTGTTGTGCAATAAATTCAGTACTGTGTAGTTTGCTAAGAATTACATAGTAAACATAGTTTTCAGCACCTAAAAGCCAATACCACTTTTACTTCTTGAATTCAAGCTACTGCACTGTAGCTGCCATGGTAAGGATTAACTGGAATACTGCCAGTGAAAACACTGACATTACAGTAACACCAATCCTGAATGAGGGTAAACAACAAGACTTTGAATGTAACTTAAAAAAACATGCCAAATAATCACAGAGCACAAGTTAAGTGGAAAAGATGTAACTCATTTTTATATATGATTATTATGCCAGCCTATTCTAGAATTTTTGAACTCCAGACTAGGTAAATATAGCATTTCATGTAGGTACAGCTGTATACCCTGAATATTTATATCTGTGTGTGTGTGTACTCTATGAACTGTGTATTCTTGGTGTAAGGGTTCATAAAATAAGGTACAGGGCATGTGCAGAAGGCACATAGGAAATGGAAATTCCTCTGGTCTGAAGCATGTTCTCTTGAGCCCAAAGCTGAAATTATTTAAAAGATGTGCTTCAAACTTTTTTCTTTACCATGTTAGTGATCCTCTGACTTGAACATGGATGATACCAAACTTGTCACTTCATGGTTTTCAAATATCAGTTTCTTTTTCCTAACTTTTAATGTGCATCTACCATCTAACTCATTTTGTAGCTAAATGGAAAGGAATTGTGACCTGGTAAATTTTTACTACCACGTAAGAAATGATCACAAGTGTGGTAATAGGAAGACAGAAAATTCTGTTAATATACAAAAGTTAAGAAGTTAAGCAACAGTTATATGCAAAAAGCTAAAAAACACCCAACAGTAGTAATAAATAAGGCAAATGATTGAAAAATCTACAGAAGGTATTAAGTGACAACACTTAATGATTGATTTAAATATATTTAGCATCTATACAATTACATCAATACCCCCAGCTGTTAAAATCTGTGAATGTTTAAGATGTTTTCCTGCATCTTTAAATTACTGCTAACCCTCTCTGTAGACATTGGTTTCAAGCACTTCTTACTTACTGCTTTCAACATGGCTGCAGAATGCCACAAAGTCATGATCAAAGTCACAGAGATGGAAAAAATTAACAGATGCTTTCATTTTAGACTATTTTTGGGGATTCTTCAAATTTAAAATTTTAACTTTAAAAAAAAGTCCATATGCAAAGAAAACAATGAAGAGTTATGTTAAGAGCAAAAGAATATTGGATATAGCCAGAGACTGAGAAAGAGAATGTCTTTCACTGAGCTTCCCACAAATACAGCTTCTGCTGTTCCTAACTGTTGATTCCCTCAGGATTTAGAGGAAGTGAATTTCTTGTGTTGTTTTACTTCCCACCTGAGTGAACACCATAAAACAAACCATCATTATAACTCTCATGCTTTTGTTAGGAATCTCAGGCAACTCAAGCCTGGACAGACCAGAAAGCTAAAACCCAGAATTATCCTAAGGGTTAAAACAAGGTACAGGGGTTTCCAAGGGAAAGCAGATGTTGCCCACATTGTACCTCTTCCCTGGCAAACAAAATAAAACTCATGGCTATTGAAAGAGATGCATTGAGTTAAGTGACTTCAGTAATGAGATGCAGAACCTAAGACATTCTGTGGGTCTGATCTTCTAGGACAGAGAATCTACTGCTCCTGTTTCCTTCTTTTGGTTCTTAGAATGGCTTAAGGATTCCAAAACTACTCCCAAAATTTCAAGTTTCCTACATTAATTACTACTCTTGGAAAAATAATCCAAGAAAAGTTATTGGATTTTGCTTGCTTAATTCAGCGCTGTTGGGAAATGGAAAGGTAGGAAATTAAGACACAAAGATCAAACTCACACCTACAGCCCTGGTCCTGCCATCATTTCACAAAGCAGAGAGCAGGTTTTGAACTCAAATACTCCAGGTTGTATATTGGCCATCAGCACAAGCTTAGCCAAGAGATTGCCTGCTTGGAGGTTCCCTGTGGCTCTTTCCTGGCTGACAGTGAGGGGTTGGACCAGATAACCCCCTGAGCTTTTTTCAGACCTAAATCACTCTGCACTTCCTAAATTATTTTATTTCCCACTGCCTGTCTAGATATCCCACCTGGATTAGGTTACCTGTCAGCTGAGTAGAAACTCAGAATTCAAGCAAGCACAAACTTTTCCTTTTTGCTGGGCTCTAACCCATTAGGCAAGGCCAGCTCCAAGAGCTCTTCACACAGTGTAGAAGACAGGAATCTGGTACTCCCCACTGGAAATACCAGGTTACCAGTGCTGGAACCATATTCATTAGTATTACTGACAGAGCCATGCTTCTCTCAGACATCACACCCAAAAACTCAGTGCAAATTGAAAGACAAAGTGCACAGTGCAAACATGCAAACCATCTCTTTTCACCTTCTCTCTGCAATACCAGAGGAGTGTCCCCAAAATCTCATCATTATAAGCTGAGCTGACATGCTGACCATTATGTGGTGAAATGTTTCTTAAAATGTCCATTCAGTTCTTTGGAAGTGGGAGGACAAGAAGCTGAAAAGCTGAAGTAAGTGTTCAGCTGAAGCTGAATATTTTTCCCAAAGATGTGTGTAAGAAGGATTAATCCTTAGTCATTCAAGAAGGAGCCCTAGAAATCTCAGGGTCATGCTACTGAAGGTAGATCACCAAAAATGTGTTAGCTGAACTATAATATTCTCTCCCAAACAGTATTTCTGAGCAAAAAGATCAAAACTCTTCACATTTTCCTTCAAAATTCAGAAGCCAGCAGTTTCAATTTCTTTCAGTAGCTCAGATGAAAACCAACTCATACTCTGGTCCCAAATGGCCTGGAGGTGTTACATTTCCTTCCCTAAATAAATGCCACAGGACATTTCCCCCCTGTGAGTGCTGGGCCCATGCAGAGAGCCTGCAAAGGCAGCTGTGGGAATGGATGGCAGTGCTACTGGACAAGTGCTATTCATGTGCTCATCACAAGAAGAACTTGCAAGAAAATGACACCAAAATTATGTTTGTGTTGTTAAGTGGTGGAAAAAACATGTTACACCTTCCCTGAAGTCACTGTTAGTTCTTAACTTCCAAAACCCATGAAACCACCCCAGTGCGGAGCACAATGCTGTGTGTGATACAGAAATGCTCGTGTTTGGAACCTCTCAAGTGCTCACTGATTCACAATCTTGTAGGTTTGTTTGGTTTCCCATTTCCTGCCAGTGCTGGTTTGGTGTACAACCAATCAGAGGCACAGTTTATTGCACACTACAGCAGAAATTACATCTTTGGTGTTGCAATTCTAGAATTCAGAAAGTTTTCTTCCTGCTTTAAACTTTTGGTCCAGACTGATGCAAAGCCAGCCTGCAGCAGCATTACAGATGGGGCTGCACTGGTATCATTGGACCTCCTGCCCTGAAACCACTGGACTGAGTTCCACATGGAAGGTGGAGCAACCCTTCTGAATGCCTCATGTGGGAATTCATAAAATTAGGGGGTTTTAGGAGCCCTCACATCTGCTAACATGAGGAGATGAGAGCACACACTGCAAAAAGGAAAGCCTGCAGTTTGCATCTCAATGTGTGAACAACTGCCAGTCCCAATTGTTTACAGCAATTGTAGGCACTTCAACCAATAAATCTGGAATGCAGATTCATTTAAGAACTGGGTTCTTCATGCTACCAGGTTTAAAAGCACTAGTTTCTGAAAAATGTCTTTACAAAACCTAATGAAATATTTCTACTGTTAATACTGGAGAAGTGATTCATTGAAAATTGCCTCATTATTTTCAATACAAAAATGTTCACTTTGAGCCTTAACATTCTAAGTTAATATTTCTTCTTGATTAAACTTGATTTTTTTTCCAAAGTCATTCTCACTGGGAAGAAAAATGCTCACATCAGTTTTATAGTATATTTTAACTGCACATGAAAGGAAAAAAAAAACCACCTGACTGTTCAGTAATGTATTTCCCTTCACCTCACCGAACTTAAATAAATGCTTCAGAGTTGCATACAAGACTGTGTCTTTCAAACATGTTAAAATAATTGTGAAAATGTGCAACAATGCCAGAAGTTTTCTCAGAACTTTGCTGTGACAGCTGGTTAATGAAATCAGACTACATTATTTAGAAGAAAATCATAAATATTGTCAAGTTATATACTAGCCATGCTTCTAGCAGGTAGCTGTGAAATAAAGTTGTTGCTTTTTTAAACAATTCTTGGTATCAGTTCCTATCAGTTCTGAAATATACTCCTGTGGAATTGTCCATCACATTTATTGCATAATCAAAAGAAATCTTGGGCCATATGTGTGTGAATTTAAGTGGAGTTCTCCATTTATGCCAGTGGGAATTCTGTTCAGGAACTGCCCATCCTTTATGATCACACAGTCTGTTAGTAACAGAAACACAGTTTTGTAAAGGAATGGAAAAACATTGAAGACAATCTGAAAATTTAAAGGAAAATATTACTATGCACCTCAGGTTGCAGGAAGCCAGTCAAAAATGAACTTCTTATTTCTTGGAGTTATGTAGGCAGACACTTCAAGCAAATTTTAAGACATATTTTGCTGATTGCTATACAAATGCTAATTTCTATACAAATGAAAACTGAACTCCAAACTAGAAAAAAAAAAAAGGTAGACAATATGAAAATGTACTCTTTCGTAGAAGAGTATATTTTTGTATTTTTTAATAGTGTATAAAGATGGGGTTGGTTAGGGGTTTTGAAGTCAGGTTTGTTTGACATGTAATTAAAGTTTAAAATATAGAGAATTTTGGGGAAGTTCACAAATACCAGATGAAATAAATGGT